TTTTTTTTTTTTTTTTTTTTTTTTTTTTTTACAGAACCCCTTGCCCCCCTCCAAAACCCAAAGTAAAGAAAACAACCCCAAATACACAAGCGCTGGGTGACAGTGCGGAGAGAGGGCGTGTACAGCCACGACAACTCAACACGATTCTGCTACGCTTCGCAAGAGTAGAGGAAAAGTCTGAACAAGCCAGCCACAAACACCAGGCTTTTTTAGTATTCTTTTTTTATACACAAAAGCGAGAGTTGGCAGGTGTGCTGGTCAGTGAGATGAGGCCCTGCAGGGCATTGTTTGGGTTTGTTCTTAGTACCACATGAGATTTACACACTGTACAAATATTTACAATGCAAGGAATGGAGGGGGAGCAGCTGAGAAAACCTGCAGGGGGCAGGAGTCAAACTAGAGCCCTGAAAAAGCATCCTCAGACTATGCACTTGTCATTGCCAGGGTCCCTGGGAAAGGGTTGCGTGGTTGGGACTGCTGTGAGTGAAGCGTATCACTGCTAGGAAATACCCTGCTGTCCTGGGCAGGAAGGGAAACATACTCCCCTCTCAAGAGCTGGGAGACCTCCACTTGGCTCAGGACTGGCTTGACTTTGAGCAGAACTGGAGAGCATTAGTCAGCACATACTGGGAGCAGCCACATGGGCACATCTACATGTTGCCATAGTGCTAAAGCACAGTGCAGTACAGGTGCTTACTGGGCTGTGTGTGTGGCGCATGGGTAAATGTCACAGCTATCTCCCTGTAGCAGTGCACCATACTGGGGGAGTGCACTGCTATAGCAACATAGCTGGTGATCACATGTAGACCCACATGATTGCTACATTACCATAGTGCACTGTACGGCAATGTAGCACATTGCTACGTCGCCATAGGACGACGTGTATATGCACCCAATGTCTCTGCAGACAGGCACTCGATTCACCTCCTGTCAGGCTATTCCCCCATGCTCTGCCCTTCATTAGCCCTGTGGGGTAGAACATATCTGTCTGCTCTCCGTAACCACTGTCAGTGCAGGAAAGAAATCATGCCCAGTGGCCATGTTCGAACTGTATTACAATATAGCTGGCCACGATGCCAAACATGCCTCGTCCTCCTCTTTACTGACTGTGTAATCATGGGCAGCATTGTGCTAGCTAATGGGACCCATCCTAGCTATGCTCAAACTTGATGAGAGGCCAAGGCTTATGACCTGCCAGGTAAAGGGCCCTGCACACTCTCTGAGCCTGGAAGACTTGTGAATGGCAGAAGCCAGGTGGGAAGGAGCGGCACAGCTCTCACAGAGGGGCAGGGGCCCTCTGTATAACATCCACCTCCCAGTGAGCTGCTGTTTCTGGGCAGAGGAGGAAAGATGCTCCTGCTGTGCCTGGAGAACTGTGCTGATGCTGGCACCAAATCCCTCAAGGAGGGCAGTGCTCTTAGCACTAGACCAGCTGTTCCTTAGTTATTTTGGTGCTGGTGATAAATCTAGAAACAGACACGCACCTTATCCTGGGAGCCTAGGGAGCTCAGATAGTTTTCCCATCTGTGCTTCCCTCCTCATATGAAGCCTTTTAAGTAAAGAAGAGAATTCAGTGTCCCTGGCTACCAGTACATGGCTCTTTGCTGGGCCTGCCAGAAAATGGCTGAAGCAGAGCCCACAGCATTCCTGGCAGCTGCCTGCCATAGGATCAAGGTGAATGTTGGCTGACTCTAACCAATGAACAACTCTACCTACTGTGGTTCTGGCACTGTCCCTGTCCCAGAGGACAAAACAGTAAGTGACTCGCAGAGTTCCCCCTTGATGCCATGCTCTCCACCTTGTGCCCAGCTATACTCTGGTGCACAACTGCTTTAAAGCTGCATATGCTCCCAGATGCCATCTCAGACTGTTTTCACCACACCCCTGAGGTCTGACCATGGAGCATGAGAGGCCCAGGCAAAGGAATTCCACTCAGGAGCTGATCTGTCAAGGCCCCTCTGGCTTTGTTCTTTTTGCTGTGACAATGGCTTCTCTAAAACTTGTCTATTCCTGCCTTGGAGAAGCAGTTCTAGGTTCCAGGAGTATAATGAAGAGGGGGTGACTATGGCACCAGCCCTGGGTACTGACCCTGAGGGGAGGAGAAAGGTGCAAAAATAGCAGCAGCTGTGCTGCTGGCCTGGTTGCCTCTGCTGCATCACCAGCAGCACAGCCACTGACTTGTCCTATGCATGGCTGCTGCCCAGGGTGCTCAGGTGTCCAGTTATGCCTATGCTAGGTCCCACAGGGATCGACACTGGGACCACTGCAGTCATTTGATTCAGGCTGTATTGAGGAACTGTAATGGGCTGCACACCTCTCAGGGAATATGATGTAAATCTGAAATCGCTCTTCTGTCTCAAAATCCTTGGATGCGCCTGTAGCCAAGACCTCATCTGACTATGGTACAGGTTTGGGACAGTGCAGGTACCAATGCCATTCCAATTACCCATGCCCTGAAAAGCAGTGGGCTCCTGCTCTTGCTTTTTATTGGGAATGGAGAGTGGCCTAGCTGTGTGGGAGGGCCTGAAGTGCAGCTTTTGAGACAATATGGCCCACAGAGACCACCCTATCTAGCTCCTGGATAGTGGAGGGAGATCAATCTGTCCCTCTTACCTCTGACCTATAGGTAGGTCGCTGACATGGGTCTCAGCACTTAGGTATCTTGGGCTTAGAGAATGGAAAGTGCAGCAAACTCTGTATAATGCAGTGATTTCACTACTGATGGGTCACAAAGAGCTGAGCGGGGCAGAACAGTCACTGGCTGAGCCACTCACCTGTGTGTGCTCGTTCCGGCATGCTCCCAGCATCCAGACACCAAGGGAAAGATGTGGCTATGCTCCTAGATGAGGCCATGCAGGAGAGGGTGTTTCTGTTTGTCTATACCAGCACTGCATTAAGTTCTCTCCTTATTAGTTTCCCAGTGCCTTGGCCTCAGATGTTGTTCAATGGCTCTTTATATGTTAGCAATACTGCACCAGTGGCTGTGGCACTGAGAGCTGATAGCAGCATGAGAGCTTGGATTCTCAGCTCTCACAGAAGGCAAGCACTGGGATTAAATCACTTTAGTGCACGCAACTCTAAAACTAACTTCCAGAAATGATTAGACTATCCTGCCCAGCTGACTATTTCATATCACTTCCCCACTCCTGCTGTGACATCTGTTTACGCCTCTGGCCTGGCAGGGGGGTGGGGTGGGGTGGGGGGTGCTTTGGGGCTAGCAAAGTCGATTTCAAGGGAACCTCTAAAGGGTGTTACATGAAGGCAGAATATTTGGTGTCTTTCTGAGGAAGAATTGCGCTTTACATTGTGACTGATGGATCCTTAATAACAAGTGCAAAAATCTGCTAATAGCATTCAATATAAGAAATGAACGATGAGGAAAAAAAAAGAAACTTCAAGCTAAGAACTGCAAGCATTAAATGTAGATGGAACCGTGCAGAAAAGTAGCAAGCCATGCTCTACGACAGGACAGACAGTCACAGGCTACATGGCTACCCTTTGGCAAAGTGTCCCTCGATGGGTCGAACATGCCACTAATCGAAAACTTCATACACACAGGTGTTTGATATAAAGATAGCTATCCAGTTTCTCAGTAGCACATTTGCAATTAAATCCTTATACATAACATTGAAGTTATTAAATATTAACAGGTTTTTTTTCAATTTTGTATTTCATTGCATAGAACATTAGACATGAGCATCAGTCACTGTTACCCAAGGTGAATGGAAGCTCCTATGGATCACATCAATGACTTGTTGTTTTGAGCATGCTCAGCATGAAAGAGAGCCCGGCAGGAAGCTGACAACACAAACAAATGAAAACCAGAGCATCTGTACAGGTGCCAATTTCTTTACAGTGAAGCAAGCAGTTTCATTTGGCTGCCTTCTGCTCTCCCGGGTTATGGTCTGAGGAACTTCATAGTGGCAGGATAAACGAGATTTTGCTTTGAGTAGCTCCTCCGTCTTTCTGAGCATGCCCATTGGTAATGGCTTAAGGACGACTTGAATTGCACAGTAATAGAAAGAAGAATGGCAGAGGCGAAGCTCTCCTGATCTTGTTCCATGGATTGTGCTCTTAATAGCCTTCTGCACTACTATTGCTTCAGCAGACAACAGCCCATGTGCTAACTCATGAAATAAAGCAAAGAGGAAAAACAATTCTGTAGAAAGTAAAAAAAGAAGCCCAAACAAAAAACCTACTAACGACAACAAAAAACTCCAAAAAAACCCAACCCCTGGGTGTCAATGAGGTATACACATAAACAAAAGTGGAATGATTAAGGCTGTTCTTGAAATAAAAATAATACCTAGGCATACTTAAAACAATGTGCGACATCAACAATGGAAAGCACTGCCATTTGAATGCTTTAGAATGGCTTCAGGATGGCTTTGGGGCGCCTGGCCAGCAATTGCTTCAGTAAAAGTCAGCCAGTTTACGCACTGCCTTTCAGAGTCCTATGGCCTCTTATTTCAGTAATGAAACAGTGTTAGGTCCTAATTGAAGTTCTCTTAATCCCACAGATCAGGTTTTGGAACTTTTTCCAGCACAGAGACAGCGAGAGTAAAAGAACACCCTCATGTAGAAGGGACCAATGGGACAAACTGGAATGTGAAGGAAAATGGAGCCTCTGGCTCCCAGCCCTCAACTCATGCACATCGCAGAGAGAGGGAAAAACCTATGAAGACTCTAGAGCTAAAATGCAGTGGAGTGAACAACTCTGTGTATAATCTCAAGAAAGGGCCATGGTTCCCAACATCAGCCTCTAGGCATGGAGGAGACCTCAGCAGGGAGCACTGCTGGGGAATCCATGAAGCAGAGCAGGCTCTACCCATATGATCTAATGGTCTGGAACAGGCTCACGCTTTGAAAGCTTCCTTTATAGACAACCTTTCAGTCTAAGCATGACTGACCACCTGCTCCTATGGCTCAATCCACAGTGCACAGAGCTGACAAGAGGATGCTCCTGATGCCCTCCTGGAGTGCTGCTTCTCAGATTCTGAAGAAGCTTGCTCTGCATCCTCCACCCAGACCCCTGTGTAGACACTGTGCCATGAGATCCAACGTCCTCTCTTCTGCATTTGATCTCACAAGCAGCCTAGGGGTTTCCATGCTTTCAAAAGCTTGGCAAGAGACAGAAAGAGATAGAGAGATTAGTGTCAGTGGAGTTGCATTTGGGTTTTGTGCTGTATATTGCCTTAGGGTGATGGGGCCCTGGTTTAGGACTGGGGCTCCTAGTACTACTCTGGTCAAATGCATAACCAAGAGCTGGCAGCACAAGCATTTCTGCCAGCTGTGAGATGACATCTATGCCTTTCCCAAGGCTTCTGACCCTGAGGTAAGAATATCCCTAGAGATGTCCTGCTCTCCCTCATGTTTCTGGAGGCCACTGCTTTCATAGTGGAAACTGAAGAATTGCTGCAACAGAACAGGGCAATCTGCTGTTCAAGCAGCTATCTTTTCTTTCGACACTGAAAAGGCTCTCAGACCAGGTCTTGTGTAAGAGGCCTCAGACAAGCCCCTCTGAATAATCTGGTTTGGCTCTCTAGGAAAGTACACAGATCTAGATCTCATCTACACCAAAACTACATGACCAAGACACCCACTTAGTGGCATTGGATCAAGTTCACCCCCCAAGTCTAAAAGCATGCAGCACCTCCAATGACTATCTAAAGTGGGGCACCAGACAGAGGAAGGAACAGGGATTTGTGCTACTATGACTGTGATAAGGGGTGACCTTCAGGGTTACCTTTAACTAAAATGAGCCACCTGTCAGCTTGCTCTAGCTGCATACCAAGCACAGGAGAGGCAGATGATGGGTAGACTGATTTCTAGAAGGGTTTCACACAAGGAACAGGGAATTTTTTGTTCCTCAAGCAGTGCCCTTCTAGGAATTAGTCTGCCCACTACTTGTCTCTCTTTTTGTGCTTGGTCCTAATTGTGGCCCATAGAGACAGGAAATGGGGTGAAGAGGGGCCAGAAGTCAGGTAGAAGTTGCAGCCAGCCAGCTTCTTGTGCTTGGGACTATGGCATCCATGTGAGTTCTGAACATGCTGTAGGGACAGAGAGCTGGCCTAAAGGTCAGGAGAATATATCAGGTTGGTCTGAAATAAGGGTTTTTTAGAGTTGGTGGATCTGGACTACAGGGCAGGTTACAGAACATCTCTAAATGGCAATGTAGACAAAATGGTATCTTTACAGGGCTTCCATGGACCACAGCCTTATTCACAGCCTCTGTCAGGGGCTGTCTAGCTGTGCCCTGGGCCCTGTCTGTGAGAAAGGGACCTAGCATTAGCCCCAGCAGATGCAGCAGGTTGGAGTCTCTGAACACGTCTAGATGAGACGCTGACTGCGCAGTAGCCTGATACAACTGCAGAGTAGCATGTGGTAAAAACCATGCTGAGACACTACTGCACAGTAGCATCACTTAAAAGCCATTCACCAGTGCTATTGTGCAGTAATTCTGGTTACTATGTATTTATTTAGTGCTTGCTTATACAAGTACTAAATAAATGTGCAGTAACGCCTTGTGTAGATGCGCCCTCTGAGAGCTAGTGCTCACTTGCCTCATTGTGATCAGGCTCCAAAGGAAGCATAAGCACTCTCTATTTCTCTTCCTTCTAACTTCCTCCAGGTAGAGATCAGTCACACTGCTATCACACTGTCCCCTGTGGCAGTGGGTCCTTGTTCATGAGTGCCAAGCCCAGGTGGAATGGGTGGCCTTCTGGCTCATGAATTTACTTGGCAGTTCCAGTGGTTAGTGCATGGAAATGTACAACCCCATTTGGTATAAAAGAGATGGCATTTTGCCTAAGCTGAGGCTGGCAACTGCTATACAGTCCACAGTAGTAGCCCTGGCTCTTGTGTGACATTTAGCCCCACAGGGTGAACATCTTGTCAGCATTGACCACAAGATGAACATGAGTCTGCAATGCAATGCTGAGGCTACTAAAGTGACCAAAATGCTGGCTTGCATCC